ANATATATATATATATATATATATATATATATATAGATTCGTGGCCAGCTGCGATTGTCATACAATGTTCCAAAAGCTGACTGGAAAGCGTATGGGGTTGTCATCTTGGTTTTTCCATCGATTGGATTGTACTGCTTGCTGGCCTTGGTCAAAGTACCAGCTCTCGAGCTTCATGTCGCTTACTTTTTTGCTTCGTGTTGTAGACGTAGTTGGTACAGGCCTCTGTGGCGGATTGTTCATCGCTCCTCGCACAGACACCCAGCTGAGCACACATTTGGAACCTCCCTGACTATCAGCTTGCCATGACTACCACCATAAAACCTTCCTCCGGTATTTAAAACCATTCTTCGTTATGTAAACCCAAGACCCTAGCCTAACCAAAAAGTACACCTTGCCTGTCCTGCTGCAGGCTCTCTTCGAGACATTGGATCGAGGCTTCAGCGGGACTCTCGACGTCAACGACTTTGCAGCCGCTGTCATGCACTTCAAAGTGCGGCAAGACGAGGGCAAGTTCCTGGACGCCTTTGAACTGGTATGTTTGTGGCTGCGATTAGGTGTGAACAGGCACACAATGCGCTGACATACGTGAGCCATACACACAAGTCCGTACGTTGCCCTGCCCTGTTCGCCTCTGGACGGACACCGTACACTGGGTTACCGGTTGCTAGAGCCTGTCATCGTCTGGTACTCAAGAGCTATATACACATTATGGTTCGTTGTTCGTGGCCTGCCAGGAGTTGTAGCTGCTTGCCTCTGCCTCTTATTCTTCCTCCTTGTTCACAGCTCAGCGTACAAAGTATTGCTGTGCAACCAGACTACCACCACCACCACCCACATTGATTGGCTGGCTGCCAAGCCAAATGTTCTATTAGAATTCCTACCTTCTATACGACCCGAATCTACTAGTGGTCTCCAGATCAATACAACTACCATGTTCAAGTGTATAAAACTTTCCCAGCTCAATGGTTTTGAGTCACAACAATCGAGAATTGAGGTTTGTCAGGACATGGACTGTACACTTTCTGTTAGTAGAAACTCTCTCCAACCCGATACCACACTATTAGTTTGTTTGCCGTGTGAATGCATTCTATTATCGTTCCTCTCTCAGTATAGTTTCTATTCAACCTCCCACAGTTCGATATTGATGGCGACGGGTACATGTCTCTGCCAGAGTTCAAAGCTGCTCTCGAGCACTGTGGCATCAGCGCAAAGCAGGATGCCGACAAGATCTTCCACGAGATTGGTATGCAACCGGGCATTGGAACCGGTCTTGTCGCGCTGTTGTTAAACCAGAGACTGTTTGTTATTGTAATATCATATGTTTAGGTGTCTTGTCGCCCTTTTGTTGAACCAGAGGTTGTTTGTTATTATATTATCACAAGTTTAAAATTCTTCTTGTTTTATTGTTAAACCAGAGGTTGCTTGTTATTATAATATCATATTTTCAGATGTCTTCTTGTACGGTTGTTGAACCGGAGGTTGTTTGTTATTATAACATCATATGTTCAGATGTCTTATTGTTCTGTTGTTAAACCAGAGGCTGATTGTTACTGTAACATCATATGTTCAGATGTCTTATTGTCCTGTTGTTAAAACAGAGGTTGTTTGTTATTGTAATATCATATGTTCAGAGGTCTTGTTGCCCTGCTGTTGAACCAGAGGCTAGGTGTGCTATTTTCATATCATGCTATGTTCAGACAGTTGATGTACACCTGCCACCCTGTCGTGGAGCATGTGTTCTGGATATGGGTGTGATAATGTGTCTACTGGAGATAGGTTCTTCATATAGTATCCGATCTCTTACAGGTGATTAAGATGCTGTAAGCAACGGGTAGTTTTATTCGCTTCTTCGTGTGCTAGTGGCTATATGCAAGTACCGCTGATGTGTGATATGTGACAGTATGGCTAGCCAGTGTCAGTGGTGTGCGAGGTCTTTGCGTGCGATTCTGCGGGTTCCGCGCCCTTATAGCAGCATTTAATTGCCGGCTGTTCCAGTCGGTGCTTCTCAAGTGAATTGCATACATGCGATGATAAATGCTAATACTTTTGTAACACAGATATCAACAATGACGGCAAAGTATCCTTTGAGGAGTTCTCGCTGTACTGGCACAAGAAGGTGCTTAAACTGACGGACCACGCGGTAGTGCGCAAGGTGTCTGTACTGTCCGATACATCCACGGGCGAAAGAGAACGAAGAGAAAACAGCTTGTCGAGTAATAAATCACCCAATGGCTCAAGAAAAGGCAGTACAGCTGCACCACCCACGGCTCCCGCATACGTGAAGAAATGATTAGAAAGTTTGAAACGAAGTATATAGGAAGAAATGGCTTTGTTGTCCGTGGTTTTGCTTTTAGAAATAAATCGAAAACAACAAACTGGCTGTACAGTTATATCGCTATTTACTTTTATATATATAAATATTACTTTCGAAAGCATCACGCTCAGAAGTAAACTTGTGCTGTTGTATTGCAGATTCATATTTAGCCTGTAACTATAAAGAGTTACTAGGCGCATTCTAGTCCATGATTTCAGTATGTTCACGACCCGTAAGAACGGATCAAGTACATCTATGGCGGATTTGGCTCACAAAGCAGAAATTTGGAACAATAACCGAACAAAATTTCTGCGCAAGCTTATCTACGTGCCACAACCACATACTGCAGTGATCATATCTTATCTGTTCATGAACCTTTTCGAAGTATTCAGGAACGGCATATACATGTGCAATGGTTAATGTGGTGGCCAAATCTAATCAAAGGAAAAGGAGATAACTATGCAAATACACTGACATCAAGAATTCGTACTTAATTTGCCTCCGAGTCGAAGATTATCACGGCTATAGTTCATACTGTGGTGTGTGAATTGTGCATTATTATCTGCTTTTCAACCAGCATTGTAGCTTTCAAGCAATCTAGGACGAGAGCACTGTCGGAGTGCCGGTCGCCAGAGTATTTACTACCACGGCAAACCTCCTACCCTCCAAAGTTTCAGCTTGGTGGGTTGAGCTGTAACCCTTGACGGTATTTGCAAACTAAATACCACCTGACGCCTGACAAAAATTATTATTTTTGACATCATACATTGAATGATTCAGAAGGCTATGCATACATATACATACAGAAAAGGGGGGTTTTTTTGTCTGTTTGAAATTCTTCGTTTGGAACTATAAAAATGCACAGTTATTGTGTACATAGTGTATTTGTTTTTGTTTTTGGTTTTGAAAGAACAAAGAGGGAAGTTGGCATTTGTTCTGTATTTATTTAGTTCTGGGAAATCTGTGACCAAAGCGACTCTGTCTCTCTCACAGAGACAGAGAGCGGGATAATGGATCTTTTTTAATGTTTGATGAACACGTGATTTTCAGCAGTACATAAAACGTAAATAAAAGATGCTCCTAATAAATAGCCTCATATCGATAATTCGTTTTTACATGACGCCAAACGTTAAAATGACGTTTTATTAGCGATGCACCATAGCCTTCTTCAAGGCTATGGATGCACCCGTGTATATTTTAAAAATTCAGAGTGTGTAAATACGTTTTTCAAAACGTAAATATTGAGGTTGGATTGAGCCAACATTCAAGGCCCAAGGGGAGGAGCAGCCGAGCAGGTCTAAAAATTACGACTTGTTTTTAAAATAAATAAATAGGAAAGCTCCTTAGTGACAGCCAGACTCTAATTACTCTAAAGTATCACTTTGAGTTTGATCTTTGACGTCCTATTTTTTTAGACCTAAAGTCTAAAAGTTATATTGCTTTTTTCTGTTTTTTACTAAAAATATAATTGTATACTTCAGAAGGCTAAAGATTAATCTTAAAAAAAAAAGCCTATCAACAGCCTGTGAGCCCTGTGAGCCTGTGAGCCCTGTGACCCTGTGAGCCCTGTGACCATGTGAGCCCTGTGACCCTGTGAGCCCTGTGAC